GTCATGTGGGGAAAAGCAGAGGGGCAGGTGTGTCCGATTTGTCTGTGTTAAGCAGTATTCTACAAAACGAGTTCTACTTTCCAGTAAATATTTGGATATATGCTTTCTTTCGGTGCAGCCACTAGACAGCAGAGGTGAGAAGAGTGAAGAATTCAGAAATATACATTAAATTACATAAAGGGAAAAACAGAAATCTTACACGATAAAATAAAAAGTCTGTTACATTTTGTCAAACATTACTTACTCAAGGGCAGGAATATATTTTCAGCAAACGCCGATGTGTATAACTATAATATCCGACCTAGTAATCGTACTCATAAGGTGACAGTATCAATAACTCACCACAAAAATATCACATACAATATACGTACATTATTTTACAACACTTTGTCAGTTAACATTAAACAATTGAAATCGATACAAAAGTTTAAGTTCCAAGTAAAACTTTTTCTGCTGAATAACTGCTTTTATATAATTACAGACTGTATCGAGAATCAAAAAGGTAGGTAGTATTAACTTTAACAATAATATTTAATATATTATTTGCCATTTGGATTGTACAATTTTAAACAACCTGTAACAAGTATTGTATCTCATGTTCTGGGTCAATGGCCCTCATCTCGATCAGGTTTTTGTTCAGTTTCCCTGATCCCTTGAGCAGATGCTGAGATGCTCCCTTGTTTTGCTTCTGGACATAAATATAACCCATATGAGAGATGCAAGCCCAAATCTATACATGATTTGCTGTTGAAATATATATTTCATTACTGCAGAGCAAATATTTTGTTAAAAATTCTTGCCTAAAACACTCATTTTTTTCTATATTCAGAATTCAACGTGTATGTGGCTTAGGGTAGGGATTCCAGAATTAAGAAAACGTGCTCACAATACTTCGCCCCGTAGCACGTCACACATAACTTTTGATTTTGAAGCAAAATAAAAATAAATTCTGAGGAATTTAATCTCAACGGTCAATAATATTAGAATGGTTACTCTTACACATTCTGGGGTATACAATCCAATTCAGAGTCTGGCAGTTTTAAGTTGTGTTCTACGATTAAATAATTTTCACTTCTGAGACATACTTACAAAGGGCGGAGATTTTGCACAGGTCCAGCTAATATATCTATGAATTAGTTCAAAAACATTGTATGTCCACTCCTGGTCGTTTCTGAGATAATATCGTGTTAGAGACCTCTCATACATATCTACTTATTGTCCAAAGATTGTATGTTTATATAACAGGAATTATACTTTTTCCCAGAAACAAAATTTTGTCGTTCCACTCCAATGCACTTTTACCAACTTTCAAGCTTGGTTTTCTTGAAACTTGAAGTTCTGAACACACAATACTTGTGCATTAAGCCATCGAGGTCTCAGAATAAAAGTTATGAACTCCTAGAACATGTAGAGGGGTCAAATACTTCCATTTTCTGCCAATAGACACGCACTGAAAAATGTAACATTTGTAACACTGAATTTTAGGCACCTTCTTATGCATAGATGAAGGATGTGATATTCTGACATGATTAAGGAGATATCATGTTTGTGTCGAACATTTATGAATATCGCCTGAGATCTGGCATAATATTCTGGGGAAATACATCCCAGAAAAGCTTCCATACTTTTAGATGACAAAACATAATACGAATAATAAGCAAATCCCACCCACGTGATCCTTGTAAGCCTCTCTTTATTAATCTAGGTATCTTACCATTACCTTGTCTCTACATATATAAATCAGTGGTTTTTGTCAAAAATGACTTAAGGGTGGAATTCAGCAAACATTGCAGTCTACAAGTACAACACTCGACGTATTAATCATATTCATCTGGTGACAGTTTAACAGCTCACTACAAAAAAGTCACATATAATACATTATGTTACACCTTGCCAAATGACATTAAATTTTTATATCGAATTTAATCGTTTAAGTCCCAAGTCAAATATTTTCTGCTGCACGACTGTTTCTATACAATTAGAAACTATACCGAGCATCCAAAAGGAAACTATTATCAATTTTAACAATGACATTTAATTTTTTTATATAATTTTGATTGTATAATTGTAAAGAATCTCTAACAAGTATTGTACTTCAGCTTCCGGGTCAATGACCGCATCTCGATCAGGTTTTCGTCCCTGATCCTCGAGGGAATGCTGAGATGGTCTCTTGTTTTGCTACTGGACATAAATGTAACTTCAAATTAACTTCTTCCCATAGCACGTCACTCACAGTTTGGAACATTGCACAACTGTGAGTTATGTTTTTGGACGCAAATAAATAAATATGGAATTGCCTCAAATTTAAGGCAAAATATCACATGTATAAATGCATACCATTTCGTTATGTGCAATTTTTTACAGTATGTTTAGCGGCAAACAGTAATGATTTTAGACTCCTCCACATGCCTTAGGAGTTTGTAACCTTTATTCTGAGGGTTCTAAATAAAATTTCTGGAAGTTAGGTCAGACTTCTTAAACAAACTTTCTGCATACACCCATTCCGGGGTGAGGATGGAATGGGTAGTTATATCTAATTAAGAAGTGTTGAGTAGATCCAATTCTGTCAAAAGTCTTTCGCTACTATAGTGCTCCTTTCGCACCAACCTGTTCGAGGAAGAGGGTGTTTGGTTCTTCACATGCAAGAAGTCTTGCGCGGGTACGCTAATATAATACATTGGCAATGCCTGTAAGATGAACGATGTCAGGAGCCTGGATTAGAGAGGAAATATATAGGTAAATAAGTAAACAATGAATAATTTAATAACACAGGTATAAACTAAAAAAAAAAGTTGTCTTACCCAATGTGTTTACACGTGTTCCTATATGTATGTCGACATACACATGTTTCTATATGCATGTCGACATACACATGTTTCTATATGCATGTCGACATACACATGTTTTTCTATGTATGTCGACATACACATGTTTCTATATGTACGTCGATATACACATGTTTCTCTATGTATGTCGACGTGCTGAATTTGAATCTAAAACCGGAATTGCGCCACCACCATCCAGTTTTTAATTACCAAAAACACCATTAACATTGTAGATTGTCAATTTCACTTTTTTTTCGATTAAACATCCTGGAAGGTGGTGGCGCCATTCTGGCTTGAGTTTGAGATTCAGCGCGTCGACATACATAGAAAAGCATGTGTCACATCTTCGGGTCTGACAACAACCTCCGAAAATACAATTTTAGTGTTTTTCTCGCGATTTAAAACATCTGGAAGGTGATGGCATAATTTTGGCTTCGGATTCGTATTCACGTAGAGAAACGTGTGTTAAGTTTTTGGGTATGTCAACTTTTTATTTTTATTTTGTGTGCCTGTGTAATTAAATTAATAAGTTTAAGCAAAAATGTTATTAAGTAATCAGTAAACAAATAAGTAAAACAATAAATAAATAAACCATTAAATAATTAGATGAGAACACTAGGGGATGAATAGGAGCGGGTGTCCGCGAAGAAAGCGTAATGAAGACTGAAGAGAACAATCTTCTGCGGCGCCGCTTCATTTCAGTCTGGAAGACCACGTGACGTCCGCGCAATGACGATAAATACTTTAAAAAGAGTTTGGTAGATTAGCATGCACTCATCTTTTGACTCCAGATTTACGTCTCCTGAAGATATTTTTCCGTAGCGGTACCATATGAATCAGAGAAAACAAAAATGTTCTCTTGTTGTTCAGGAGATTCTGATGTTGAAGAGCAAGCAAAAAGGTTCTACGTTTCGGACATTGAACATATTTTCTTTACATTAACAGTTGAAGAGCACTCTACAGACGTTACAGAAGCTTTTATGCATGGAAAGTTGAATTTATATTTTAAGAAGTTTCCCACGATTAACTGAAAACCGGCAAAATGTGACAGTAAACCTTCTTGTTTACTGCGATCTTTTCCGCGGGTTTGATTCGATGATGAGACCATCTGGGGGTAAATACCAACATTCGAAAGGTTAGATTGCTTCACAATATAAGTTTTGTAATGGCTTAAAACCCCTCGGTCTAGCTACATAGAATCAGATTATGTAATTTATATGTGTAATTATTACCTATAAAATAAGTAAATCATAAAATAAAAAAGATATTATATATGTATGACGATTTCATTTTGTTTAAATGAGAGCTCGTTCTCATCACTATGTCAAAGTCTGTCGAAATCGCCGAAAATAAGCAAATTTTTAGTTTAATAATTTCGTGATACGTTTAAGAAATACGCGATTACCATCTACAAAAAAATTGCGTGTTAGCACGATCTCCTCGATACCAATTGATATATTTTCAGCAACTGAACGATATATTCCTCAAGTTTTTGAATAAGCTAAGTAGGTTCAAAAACAAACGTATGTTTCACTACATATTGTAGTATGTTGTTGGTTGAGGTGAAGTTTGTGTAAAGAAAAAAATACAATATATATTTAACCTTTCGAATTAGTTTCATGAATTAAAACGTTCACGTTTTAACGTCATTACATTCACGTTAATGAAATATTGTGCAGATTCTTCACCGCAACGAAAACGATACAAAGTTGATCATTTAAGTTGCAAAATCGTAGAACAGAACGTGACAAAAGACAGTTAAGAAATTAAATATTTCAGTTTTGTGTATAGCACACATTAATGTCTCTGAACCGCGAAAGACATATGTTGCTTCGTTGTTTTGGAAACACTTAAAAAAAAGTTGAATTTAACCGAACGAAGCAAGTCCAAAGTGAAATTGAATACTAACGACAGTTTCGAAACATGCAATGCACACAAAAGACGCTAGAACTTAAGATACCAGAGATTCAGATTATCAGTTTTAAAGAATCTTTAGTTACATCCAATGCTACAGACACGTCAATTACGATTCTCACAGGCACCACACATCTGAAATGACAAACCAACTCGCACACTCGTTGCCTGAACCCAAACTAACGAAAGTACAACATGCACCTGTTTCGCGAATTCCCTGAACGCAGACATCAAGATCAGCATCTTTGAGCATGGACCTACCTGCCACTGCCCACAGCCACGACCGCCGACGTCACGAACAAGTGCCGCGCGAGGGATCGATCGCGAGGTCTCTCGACCGGAAGCGGCGGCGGCGCAGGCGCGGCGCGTGCCGACGCACAGGGTGCGCGCCCTGCCCGCCAGAATGCGTTGGCGCGCGGGATGCGCTCTTCCCGATCGCCGGACGTAATAAACATGATGCAAAGATCGATTTGGCTCGTCAGTTATTACTGAAAAAAACAAAAAAAAATCATTCTTTTGGCCGACTGCGCCAACGTAGTGAACGACTTCGGTCTAGTGCTCAAAGTATACGCTCATGAGCATTTATAACAACAACAACAACAACAACAACAATAATAATAATAATAATAATAATAATAGTAATAATAATAATAGTAATAATAATAATAGTAATAATAGTAATAATAATAGTAATAATAATAATAATAATAATAATAATAATAATAATAATAATAATAATAATAATAATTTTATTGCTTGCAAGTGGACTGTTGTCTGTTGTCAAGTTCAATAATCTTTAAAAAATATTCTTAAATAAAAAATATTATTTATTTAAGATTTTTTAGAGATTTAATTTTTATTATAAGTGTTTTTAGCCAAAAAAATACAATTAAGAAAAGTACAATAAACTCTCCAAATTTTATTGCAATAAAATCAAATTAAAAGTAAATAATACACATAAATAAATATCTATATTACAAATAATACAGAATAAAATATTATAGCTTCTAATATTTTTCTTCTGCAAATACCACTAATAGTAAACTTGTAACATATTAACAAATATTAATAAATTATGTTTTTTATTTTTTAAAGATTACCTCCCGACAATATCAAATATCTTCAAATAAGGTGAATTTAAAAAAAAAGTATTTTATGTGTAATTTGGCGTCAAACAACCACCCACTCCGAATTTTCTGCCCTCGATTAACGTAATTGCAGGCAGTTGGATGATTCCTAAGTTAGAATTTGTATATTATTTCATATTTATTTGATTCTTACATTCTACCTGTTATTACATATTTACACATTAACCTTTTAGAAATTAATTAAAACCTTTTTGAAATTAACGAAATAAAAATTTCTGATATGAATTGAATTGAAATATATAAAATGAGTATGAAAATACACTGGCGGAAAAAAGTATTGCAACACCAGGATGGGCACGAAAAAATCACGTAGACGATAAGGGTCGTTAAGGACGGGGGGTCGTAGAAGCCTGATTAACATTCCACAGATGACTGACGCCCGGTGACGTAAGCTTGGCAGCAGCGTGACGGAGTAGCCCGGACGCGCCATCTATTCTGCGGCTTTAAAAGGCGCTGTCTACAGCGATAGGCCCAGACGGGACTTAGGTATGCCACGGCGTCGCACTCGTTCGTCCTTCAAGCAACTGGGCCAGTTTGAGCGGGGTCGGATTGTAGCCCTGCGCGACGCCAGGTGATCCATTCGGCATATTGCTGACCACGTGGGCCGTGATGCGACGTTGCTGCTGGCAGCAATGGTTAGGCGAGTTCCCATAGACATAGTCCCACTTCGGGGTGACTGTGGAGCACTGTCGAACGTCAAGATCCACGCATCATGAGAGCGGCATTGGAAGACCGTATGCCCCCTCTCCCACTCTGAGATACAGGCACATGTGGCCCCCAACGTGTCTCCACGCATCGATGGTTGTTGCAGGACTACAATCGCGCAAACCGCTAGCCCGACACCGATCCCTCGTCGGGCACGTCTGGCGTGGTGCAATGCGCGGGTCAGCTACGCGACGGAATGGCGTGCATTGTGTTCAGTGATGAGCCTTCTCCCTGCCCGCCAGTGATGGCCGTGTGCGTGTGCCGGGGAGTGCGTGCTTCACGTTGGTGTGTGTTCGTTCACGTTGTGTGATTAAACTATGCGCAAAAAATTGGCATAACTTAGTGATGTGTCGCTCAGCACTGAATAATATTTATAATATGGAATGTTGCGTGTTGATGCGAGAATGTTACTCAGTGACGAGACGTTTAGTCTTTTTTAAGAAAACTTGTCTTCAAAATTTAAATATTTTGTTGAAATTAATTGTATTAATTGATAGGGGTTTCTGTATATTTCAGCATAGAAAAAACGTAGCAGGGATCGATGAAAGTAAGAATAGGGGGATTCCAAAATAACCTAGGCTCAATACTAGTCCACAACGCTGTTAAAACGGCCCTGCCGCACACAGCTCGGCTCGCAACAGATCTGTAGCAGTTCCTCTGGGAGGTTATATAGTATAATAGTACGCAACACAACATATAACATTGCACCTTGTATTTCACTAACTCTTCACCTATCACTCTAAAAATGAGAACGATAAAATTGAAAATTACGTGAAAACTAATAATATTTTGAAAAAAGCGTGAACACACACCATATTATTTAAAAAAATGGCTCTATTTGAGTCAAAAAGTAAAAGCAAAAAAGAAAAAAAATGGAGCCTTTAAAATAAATCTTGTTTACGTATTTTTTTAATAGTCACTATTTCACTCATCGTTTCGCGAAAATACTTGGAATTTTAAAAAATGTTTCATGGCATTAGTTAAAACTATAAATTTGAAGAACAAATTGCATTTACAAAAACATGATTTTAGATAAATGTAATTGACAGAATGTTTTCAATTTTTCAATTTTCGAAAGTTAAAACATTTCCACGGAAATTATTGAAAAAAATTAAGACATCTTTGAGAGAATTTTGAAAATGTCTGTAAACGCTATGCGCAATAGCGAACGAGCTACATATTTGATTTGATAGAATTAGTGACGATATAACTACTGTAATCCCCAATTCCCTCGGCGTCTGGTCAGAGCGAAAGTTTTCAAAATAATATTTTTAAAGTAGGGAAACGATTTCAAAATCAAAACCGTAATTAGAATGTATTATTACGAATAAACAAAACCTAAACATAGCGAAAATATTTTATTAACAGAAACACATAATTTGAAATGGCGTGATGCCTTGGTTAACATAGAATGGGAAAAATGGTAAGTTGAATGCTCAGAATCAGTTATTGTCACATTATATTAAAAAAACGAATCCATCGGAGTGTTAAAATGATCTGTGTGATGGATTGAACTAATGGAATCTATCCCTGTTTGCATTGGGCTTGATTTGGGAAGTGGCAATGGATGGACAATGATTTAAACAAGTTCGTGATAAAGACAATGACAATGATTTAAATTATTCAAACAGTGATTTAAACAAAATGATTTAAAAATTCACCGATTTAAATAAATTTTTGGTGCCTTTATTTTATCAAAATTTTAAATAAAACGGACTACAACATTTTTGTTCGCGGAGCTTTGCCTACTTAATAAATCTCTATATTTTTTGTAGAAATTCCACAACCTGGATTTAGAAAACAAGGAAATTAAAAAGAAACAAATATTACTCTACAATAATCGCAATGTTCGAAAGAAAAGTTCAAGTGCACGAAACAAAAATCAAAAACTAAATCAATCCACATTTTATTGTGTAGACGATAGCGACCTTGACGTGGCTAACGTTCGCTTTCTAGCCTTCAACTTCTCGAATTTTTATTACGTAATCTACTTCAAAATCGACCCTGAAAATTTGATTCCGAAGTACCTCCTAAATCGTGTTCTCGAACTTCAATTACTCATTCACTTCACAAGCGCAATATCAGATTCGACAGGTACACAACGTCTCCTAGTTGCTGGTAAATGAAACATGCCGATACATTTAGTTCACATCACGGCCGCTAGTCGGCAGTGGCGTGCCCGAAAACCGACACCAACCCCTCGCCCTGCCCACCCCCACCCCTGAATATCTCTCTCTACCCAGCTGTGCACGCCCAAGTAAAAAGGTTTAATTTTAAATGGATGATAATGTCTTTATTAAGGGAGCTCCTTTATGCCCAAATAAATTCAATTTGAGTTCTGCACAAGTGATAAAACCATTTTATACTCCAACGGGGCAACGATTTTTTGTGAAAAAGTAAAACAAACATTTTGTGATCTATTTAAGTCAATTTTTGAACGTTAAAAGAGCGACGAAGAATTTTTTTAAAAAACTGTTTTCATTCGCTATCTGAGGGTTTGGTTCCACGATACATTACTGAGGCTCCTTCGATGTTTAAAGAGATGCGAACAAAGGACTTTTTGCATGGTGTGGCTTTTCTTCGGTATTAAATACGCGCTTAAGTACGCATAGAACTTCACAATAGCGAGTTTAGACACTTTTAAGTATACAAAATTGAATTTAAGGGGAATACATTTGTGATCGTTTATTAACAATTTTACCAAGAGGCCAAATAATTTAATACCTCTTGGCAAACATAAACAAAAATATTCTTTAGTGAATTAAAAACTTAATTGTTGCGAATTTTATTACACTGCCATTACAGACTATGTATATTCCCAATGTATCAATTTTTTACGTCACGTTTACAACAATTTCACTAAAACAATGGACAAATTGTTGCATCGCAGTGAATATGCAATCTATATTATATAAATAGGAAAGTATGTGTGTTTGTTAGTGCCTCGAAAACTTTAGAACCTCTTGAGCGATTGCTCGCACATTCTTTTGAACGGTCAAGAATTTTAAAAAAAGTATTCGCGATTAAAACTGTTACATTAAATGTGTCTTTTTTTAACATTGAATGAAATGCAATTCCCTATTCCCTGCGGCATTGTTGTCTTGTTGCCATTGTTGGCGCTGCTGCGGGAAGCGGGTCGGGCCGAGCGGGACTGGATAGCTCCGTTGATAGATTACTAGATTGTTTATGTTGTGTCAACTGCTATGGCAATCAGTCCCGATGTGTATGGTAGGTTTTAACACGGGAGGTGGCAATGTTGTTCTCCAATAGCACTGTGAGTTCCGGCACCGATCTACACGTCGGCTCGCGGAAATTTCTCCCCAACCAGGTATCTCCCACAAGCAAGGCACCGCCCGTCCGGCACAAGCTATAAGCTCTCAACCGGTCTCCCGGCATGTGTGGTAGTGTAGTGCATACAAGTGTGTGCAAGGGGTGAGGTTACAACAAGGAAGATGTGGTTGCGTAGGCTTCCGCGGCCGGAGTTTATGTTGGTTGGGCTATCCGGGACCAGCCGCGTCAATGTCATGGTGGCTAACGTTTCGGCCAGCGTATTGTGGCCTTCAGAGCGTACTGCTAGTACGCTCTGCCGTACGTTCTGAAGGCCACAATACGCTGGCCGAAACGTTAGCCACCAT